AACGTTTCATACATATCAAGTGATGAAAAAAACGAAACTCCGAAATGAACTTTAATAAATATTGAACAGTCTTATTTTAATAATTATATTTTTTAAAGGCGATAATGCCACTAAGACGTAAAGTGCTACAGAGAATGAAAGTGAATGAAAAGAGATTAGAAGGAACAGGAAACGAAATTCTCAACAGAATTTAAGGGATAAAATTCTACTCATATTTCAAAAAGAGAAGGGAGATCTGGACAATAGTTGAACCTACCTAATCCTACTGAATATATATAAATGAAAAATGAAAAGAATTTTACATATTTTTGACAGACCGCACCAAGCATATGTAAAATTAACGAAGTGAGGAAGTGAGGTAGGAGAGAAGACATGAGTGAGTTAGATGTACCATTTCAATTCTTTACCCTTAAACCCCACTCTGTGTAGGCTAGACACCGCTTAACTTAACGTATGTTATCTTTAGATATAGGTGCGGTGCGGTCCGTCAAAAATGTGTAAATTTCTTTTCATTTTTCATTTCAACCTTTGGAAGTAAAGTCTGATGATCCAGAGCTACCCATACGGATTACCTAGTTTTGCATAAACTATATATATATATATATATATATATAAAGAAATTATATACACACAAAACATCTTTCACAAATAGTAAATATGCGAACAGTACACTGCTTTCTAAGTATATCTGGGAAATTAAAAACAAAACGCACATCACACCAAAAATATCTTGGAAGATAAGGAAAAAGTCATTAGCCTACAACAACCAATCAAAAACTTGCAAACTTTGCTTGGAGGAAAAAATAGCTATCATTACTTTCCCCGACCAAAATGAATTATTAAATAAAAGATCCGAGCTCATCTCAAAATGCAGGCATGAAAATAAATTTTTACTACGTATCCTAAAAAATGAAAAACGGAAAAAATAAAATAAAAACAAACAAATACACTAATAAAAGATAGAAATAAAAAATAAATAAATACTATGTTGCTAAAAACCGAAAAGAGAAAATATACAAGTAAAATAAATTGACCTAAATTCATCCAAGTAAATAAATAGACAAACCAATCTCAAATTAAAAACTCTTCCCTCCAAAATTATAGTTAGAATGAACTACAACAACCAACCCCAAAATTGAACAAATAGCTTTAATTAAATTCTCAAACCAAAACAAAACTGTTAAATAAGTGATATAAACAAATTTTTACTACGTTAATAAATAAATAAATAAATAAAATAAGAAATAAAAACGCGCAATATAACTTGACCCAAATAAATAAACAAACGACTTCCGGTAAAATAACCACCATAATAGAATACCCACAATGCACCACTAACCCGTATATATATAAATAGCCGAGAAAAATAACAGCATATGTGGCCTGACGATTGCATATAGAATGAAACAGACTGTGGCCTCTAAGTGTTGACTTCTATGTTCACTTTTATATTTATATAAAACTATAAAACTACAAGCGTTCAGTTGGGCGCCTATTCTTACGCTACAAAGAAAAATTGACAATTTGAAACGTTTCAACTTTGGACTGAAGACATGCGAAGCCCAAGCATCAAACGGAACGGAGTAGCATAAGACATGTTGACATGTTTCATTAAGTTTAATGGTTTTGAATACAGTAGACTGAAGCACCATGATCAGCTTCGTCAAGCTCTGAAGCAGAGATGCCATCAAAATCCTGCTTTAACAAATTTCATCTGTCAGTGTGGCTTTTATCTCCTTCAGCAAGGCTGGGTTAGTATCACACTTAAGGAAGCACAAATGAAATACGTTTTTCCCTTGCCTGGTTTTCTCCACAATAGCCCCTGCTAGTATGCATAATTGCAAAACGGAACGCACAATCCAATGAGGACCCTCATTTATCCCTCACGATAGGTGAGTCCACCATATATATATATATATATATATATATATATATATATATATATATATATATATATACTGCCTCAGTCACATATCGCTTTCTCTATATGTAGAGAGACAGATGCATGTAATTTTGTGTTGTATGTCTTATTTCGTTTTAATCATTCGAGGGTTAATGCTAGTCTATTTTCCCAGGGTATGGTAGATAAGAATATCAAAACAGGAATAGAGATCGTTGAGTTGGAAAGATAGAGTTTGGAAAACGCCTGCTGTTTTTTCTTTTCTTCTTTCTGATGACTCGTGTGAGCGTTCGCTTACCTACGCATTTGCATGCGCGCCATTTGCACAGAATTCCAAACGTTCATGCGCCTTCGTTTAAATGAAAGAACGCGAGACGCTTCGGTATTTTACAAAGATGCCAAAGAAGATAATGGATGAAGTGAAACGAACGATGTTTAAAAGGAAAAAAAAACGAAAAAAAAACGAAAAATAAAAACAACATAAAATGTAAAATTAAAATGAAATAACCTAAGGATAAAAAAAAAAAATAAATGATTTCACATAAATCCATCTAGCACAAAGAATTTATTTATATTAAGTTTATTTTTAATTCAATAACTATCGATTTAAAAAAAAATCGGCGAACAAATGACACTAGCAGAAAGATTGGCTTTGCGCATGCGTGTTTCCGACTTCATCAAAATGGCTTTCTTGAATATATTCGAAGCTTAGGCTTGTACTGACCCTATTTTACTCTTCATCGATACGTTATATTAAATCTAGTTATGTATTCATATGTTGAATAGTCATTGATATTTATGAACATTTTATTTCAGTATAATTTACTTAAAATAGATTTGCTAGCATTACTCATAATTGATTTTGACATATACACAAATGGGAACATGCCTGCCGAAGAATTTTGGCGTAATGATTATCTAGAATATGAATAAATGCTGATCGAGAATTTCGGCTTTTTCGTAATGCTGAAATGGTATATTGAAATTTATATTAAGCTATGTCTTTTATATAAACACGTAAGTGGATAGTGTTTATACTGCACGACTGGGAGTGGGGGAGAGATTTAGAAGCAATGAACGGCCTGGGCGGAGTGGGTATTTGAGATGGACTCAAAGTCTGTGTGTACGGACCGAGGGCAACCCGCACCAAATTCCGATAGCTTGGAGAGAAGATGGGCTTCGCAAAGCTCTCTGAAAGCCGACAGAAAGGATCAATAATAATAATATTAATAATAATAATAATAATAATTAATAATAAAAGCAACACAATACCGGATCGGTCGAGGTGCGGACTAACAACAGCCGGGGGGTCCCTTTGATTCACTTCAGGATGGGCGTGACAAATGGGTTACTGGAGCGGCAAACACTATCAAACTACCAACGCAGGATATCACCATCGGAACGCAGAATGTTAGCGCCCGCTATGCTTTCAGTGAAAGAGTGGACGTATTGAGAAAACAGAGGTCGGAGTTCGAATTCCAGACAAGTTCAATACATTTACGTACATGCTAGTAACCTCGAGAAATGTATGATTCCATATCTTCTCCCGCCAGCTATGAGTAAATATCAGGACAGACTGGGCCCTACTGCCTTGGAAGCCAATCGGTCTACGAGAAGGAAAATTCTGGATTCAAAACCAGCCTGGAGAGGTTAGGGTTTACCCAGGAAACACCATTACTACTACGGCTGCAATACATATGGGGACACTACGATCTTAATGGATTATGTGTTAAAAAATTTGATCAGGACGAAGGCGACCTTTGCTCCACACAGCTTCCTATCATTTGTATCTCATAGCAATCTTTGTTCTGTTACCATTATCTCTTATTTCCTTTTCTGCCATCCATTTACACAAGCGCGTTAGATAGGTTATTCTCTGTTTCCTTTACCTTAATCATGTCCCTGTAAGTGTCAAATTTTCCAAACCTTATTTCCTCATTATTTATACATTGAATTTCAACTCTCTTTCTTTTTCTAAGTGCGAACATCATTTTTTTCATTTTTCTGAAAACCTCCACGTTACTCACATACACTATTCGTTTTATTTTCAGCATCCTCGTATAGAGCGTACGGCCACATTTCGTTGAAACACCAGCCCCCCTGCGATCAGTGAAGTTAAGCAACGTCGTGCCTGGTCACTTCCTAGATAGATGACCGGTGTATGTATACTAATGCCGGATCTCCTGAGAGCCAACAGATCAGAATGGAAGTGGTTGCCCATTTCTTCTACCTTCATACCCACCCCACCAACGATTGATGATGATGATGACGAGGATATGGTATATGTATATATAACGAGCAAGTATCTGTATCAACTAAAAGGCTCTCAATGTAATTATACTGAATGAAAGTACGACACGATAGGTTTAAAATATTTTTCATTATTTATTTTCTAAAATAGGATTAAAATATTTAAAAAAAAAAAACTGGTCGTGGGAAAAGAAGTATGCCTTTTTTTTTAACAACACAGTCCGAATTCTAATGTATACATTATCTGAACTTACTTAACGACCGGCTGGAGAGGAGTCCTTAGCGTTAAGGCAGTGATCCTACGTATAGGAGAAGGGGAAAATTTCTTTTTGAAAGCATGAATTTTTATCGGCGCCATACGACCGCTGCTCCAACTAGACTGCTTGTCGCTGCTGCTACATATTTTCCCTACAGTCAAATATTAAAAAAAAACAAGAAACGGAAAATTTTCGTTGCAAAGAAAAGAGTGCTGATCTGCTGTGTAATATCAATCCACATATATGGCAGTGAAAGCTGGACAGATGACAATGTGACTTCAGGCAACAAAAATGTGGCTTTACAAAAAAATTGATTTATTCGTTTTCTACTGCTTATGGAACCCTTTGCATATTATTTAAAGCCAGAAAATTTAGATTATAAGAATTTTATTTTTTTGGAATTAATAATGATTTAATGATATAAATGTTAATAATTGACCCAAATCTGGTAGAGGGGAGAAGAGGTGGATTCCTATCTTTCCTAAGGATATTTGCGCGTAAAGTGAATATAACGAACCCAACTGGAATTGGAACTCAGCTCTCTGATAAACGATCCCGGGTTATTATTCATTACATCAAACGCACATCGAAATTTACAGCACCTAGTATTCTCAAACGGTCATCTATCTTTGTAGTGACCAGGCTCGACGTTGCTTAACTTCACTAATCGTAGGGGAGCTGGTGTTTCAACGAAACGTGGCCGTACGCTCTATCCAAGGATGTTGAAAATAAAATGAACAGTGCATGTGAGTAACGTGGAGGTTTTCAGAAAAATGAAAAAAAAATGATGTTCGCACTTAGAATAAGAAAGAGAGTTGAAATTTCTTGTATGCATAATGAGGAAATAAGGTTTGGAAAATTTGACACTTACAGGGACATGATTAAGGTAAGAGAAACAGAGAATAACTTATCTAACGCGTTTGTGTAAATGGATGGCAGAAAAGGAAATAAGGGATAATGCTAACAGAACAAAGATTTCTAAGAGATACAAACGATAGGAAGCTGTGTGGAGCAAAGGTCGCCTCTGTCCTGATCAAATTTTTTAACACATAATCCATTAAGATTTTAGGGGCCCCATATGTATTGCAGCCGTAGTAGTAATGGTATTCCCTGGGTAAACCCTAACCTCTCCAGGCTGGTTTTGAATCCAGAATTTTCCTTCTCGTAGACCGATTGGTTTCCAAGGCTGTAGGACCGATTCTGCCCTGATTTTTACTCATAGCTGACGGGAATATGGAATCATATATTTTTCGAGGTTACTAGCATGTACGTAAATGTATTGAACTTGTCTGGAATTCGAACTCCGACCTCTGTTCCCTCAATATGAGTTCGACACTTAGAAAAAAATGTTAATGGTAATAATATTTTATTTTCTCCCCTGAGATACTGTTAACTGTTATTTATTTTTTCTTGTGTTCTTTTATCTTACTGTGACATTTCTTTTACTCGGAACAACGCCATTTTACGATGGGGTTAATCATTGCCTATAGTATACGCGATTTACAGGAAAGAAGGTACCGTATTTTTATGCATTTTGAAAGAAAACAAACACAAAGACGAAACTATTTTAAAAGCAAGTTCCTATCCTCGTGAAAGAATAAATGGAAAGGCTTCAGGTTAACCTTCCCTTCGATACTTCAAAACACAGATAAAAATCTATAGAAGAAAGACCTAACCATTTCCGAAAATAAAAGGAACTGCGGTTGTTCACTTTATAAGCTTTGCTTATTAATAAATATATAATCACTCCCATAACATGGTAGTTACATGAACACATTGACAGACAACCATGAGTTAGTTAGCAGAAATACTTTTAAGGCAAAAACAATATTAAGACTTCAGTTGACGTTTTAAATTAACTCATATTAAAATAGGTGTCACTAAGTTGCTAATTATATATTTGGAGTTTGAAGTCAAATACCACAATTGACCCCTGGTAGTAGATTTGTTAAAACCCGCCAAGGAGTCCGCCGACTATAGAAATTCTGATTAAACGAACATGGTTCGTGGTATGAGGACAAACTACATCCGGCAGTAAAGTCTCTGATCGGCAGATTGGAAGTCTTGAGGAATATTGTATCACCTCCTATCATCCGATGTTCCCAGGTCCCGGGTGTTAGTACCCGTTAGGGTGCCAGCTAAGGACAAAGCAGATATGGAACTCATGTCCGGTGCTCGCGTTTTCGGGATCCGACGCTGGAATCGCGAATGGCTCGAGCATGCCGTCGATTCTGCTGCCGATCGACGTGGGTGGATGGTCTTGACGCGTGATGCCGTTAATTCAATTGGTGAATGCCGTTACAAGACAAAACAAGAAGGGGACAGTTAAGGCAAATAGTGAATTGCTAAACAAAAATCAACTAGATTTTTTTATAATAAAATTAGCAACACTACAATTTATAGCAAAATGAAAATGAAACAGTAAAAAATATAAAAATATATATCTTATATTAAGCGTACAAACAATATATTTTATAATCTAGAAACTATATATGTAAAAATACCTTTACTTTAGGTATAAGTATAAATAATAAATAAGTATATGTACAAAATATCGGTAGTTGAACGCATAAAATTACGTAGAAAATATTTAGGTTTCATCATTAAATAACCCATAAAGGTTGATATGTCCCTAGACAAAATCAGATATTAAGATCCTATCTGAGAAAATACTGAAATTGTTAGAGAATTACTTAGGTTAGGTTACGTCAGTTTATTTGGGCTGAACGTCAGATTATTCAGGTTTAACAATATTTCAAAGCAGTTAATTTTAACCGTCTCTTCTACTCCAACAGCTTCTTCTCTCGCACTTCCCGACTGTAGAACTCTCTTCCTCTCACTTGCTTCTCTGATAACTATAATCTTCAAAAATTTAAATGTAATGTCAATTGACATCTACTGTTGTTTTAATCCCTGTTCTTCTTTTTATCCTCCTCCGTCCTTTTTTATCCTCCCCCACCCAGTCTTTTCCCTTACTCACACTCTCTGTAGCTCCTTGCCTACTAGTGCCATTTCCGCCTTGCTTGGTGGTGCGGAATTGCTTAAAAATTAGGGTAAGTGAGGATAATAATCGTTAAAATGGTCAAGCCTAAGTCAGCTTTGCGCTGTGTTGGAACGACCAAATTACTTACTCCATGAGTGGAGCTGCACAACATGTCCGAAAATTGTAAGTGAGTTTGTCGTTTGGGTCGAGAAGTAAGATCGTGTGAGTCATGATAATCATGTTATAACTGGTCGAGCCCAGCTCAACCTTTCGCATAGTTGGAACGACCATGAAATGGTTCATAGGTAAGGTTTTGGAAGACACGTACGAATGCTATGCGTTGGAAAGTGGAAAAAATGTTTAGCCGTCAGTGGACTGGGAAAATGAATGTGTCCACATCGAAGCGAGAGTGCAAAATAGTGTCACCTACTGGGCGTTTGATGAAGCCAAATGATGTAATAGATTTTCCTGTTCTTTATTACTAGCGTTATCGGGAAATGTGTTTCTTTGTTTTATTATTCATTATTATTTTATCTATTAATTTTATTTCATTTTCCAACGATATACTGATTTTCTAAGCGAGGCTTAGATGTGGCACATGGCCGAAAGTATGGGGCACCTAGTGCGGATCAAACTCATTATTCAGTTGTAACAGTTTTAGCAAGACCAGCTTGCTAACCGTTACACCACGCCGAAGCGCCCTCATTTTCAAACGATATACCTTCTTTTTGGAAATTATTCCAGATATCATTTGTACTGATATCCTGATCTTAATGGGAATAAAGAATTTTAATGTTAGTTTTTATGCTTTAGTTGTTGGAATTTGTGGGTACCCTTTAGTACTAGTGAGCTAGCCAAAATGAGGTGACTCATTTTATAGTTCACCAAGAGAAGGGTTAACCAATCAGAAAGCTCAAAATATTCAATCCGACGTGTATAAAGGCAGCCATCTTGTTTTTCTCCCCAAAATATCTTCACTGCCAACCTCTGATATCGAAGACCTGAAGAATTACAGAACAGCTGCTACTAGTGATATTGGCGTTGTTCCATTGAACACATTACGTACTGCACTGGATTCTATATTCAAAGACTACGGCAATCATGGTCAATATTAGTTACTACCATGGCTATTGCTGTACTTTAAAGAAATCAGTTCTATATGTATAAATTTAGTAATAGTTATTCTCAACTATTTGTTCTACGTGTAGGTCTTGACTAGATGTTTGTTGGTTGAGAATAACTATTACAAATGGAATACAAAGGGTAACTTGGAGGATTCGTGTATGAAGTATGGCGGGTTTCAACGTCGTGAAAACGGCGATAGTCTAGCGAGAGGCTAGCATTGCTTCGTTTGTTGCAAATGGGTTATGGAGTTGAAATTAATTGAATCAACATCAAGACCGCGTAAACACTTTTGTACATTTTCAAGGCGGGAAACTGATGATTGGGCAGCGCTCCATTTCAGATGTAGCAGTATTACTCAATTTTGTTGCCTGATCTGGATTTGGGCCATCCAAATCTTTTCAATTAAATTGCTCATTCCGCATGCGCTGTGAAACCGCTTTCTTGTGAGAAAAATGAACTGAAATGATAAAACTTTATTTGTCAAAAGTTCATAAAATTTTTTTGTGTCACTGCATTTCAAGGTTTATAAGTTACGTACTTCTTATTGAGTCTCTATTATTATACAAGATTATATATATATATATATATATATATATATATATATATATATATATATATATATATATATATAATGAAATGGACAAAGTCTGACAATTATTTAAAGACATTTTATGTTTAACATTCTTTTTTATAGATACAGATCATTCACTTAAATACTTGTATCTATGAAAAGAATGTTAAAGATAAAAATATCTTTAAATATATACATACACACACACACACACACACACACACACATATATATATATATATATATATATATATGTATATATATATATATATATATATATAGCCTTTATTATAATTCTGTTTGTCCCACTCTCCGTGAATTATTTACTTAGTTCTTGAGGTCGCACGAACGTTACGCTTTCCCACTACCTCATAAATAATGGACTATTCCTTTTTGACAGCGTACAACACGAAACTGACTCAACATAGACGCTACTTGGTTTCAGGGAGAAAATGAAAGAAAGACAGAAAGAATGAAAGATGTGAAGATAGAAGTCGTTAACGTTTGTTTCAGCGAAATGGAAAAAAATTGTCAATTTCAAATATTTTCATTTGTATCTCCTTACCTACAAATATATATATATATAATATAAAATTTTTGCTTGTCAAGGTTTCGGCTAGTATAAATAAAGCAAGAGTCATGTCAGAATCTCGTATTTTGGAGTATAGACCTACGATAAGGCATTCTGACCTAGGTATGACGATAAACTACATCCGGCAGCAAGGTCGCTGACTGGGAGGTTCAGTGGAGTGTTGAAACATCTCTTAATTGCTCTTGCTCCCAGGTTCACATTGACAGGGAAGTAGAACGTGTTAAGATCCTAGCTATGAGCAAATTAGCTAACACCCCCACCAAACTGGGACCAAAAAATATTAAAGTATAAAAATAGATTTTTATAGTAAAAAAATACCAGCAATACATATTTCAAAAAGATATATTGCCAACCATACATTTGACTCTCTAAAAATATACATCAATTAAACCTGATCTTCAAATTGACTTCTTACAAAGAATA